CTGGGTTCAGGCAATTCTCCTGCCTCAGCCTCCTGAGTAGCTGGGATTACAGGCACGCGCCACCATGCCCAGCTAATTTTTTGTAGTTTTAGTAGAGACGGGGTTTCACCGTGTTGACTAGGATGGTCTCGATCTCTTGACCTCGTGATCCACCCGCCTCGGCCTCCCAAAGTGCTGGGATTACAGGCGTGAGCCACCGCGCCCGGCCTTGATCTTTTATTTCTTACTATCATGTATCTAACGGACAACTTTTTTCATTCTCAACATTTTTTTCCCCCCAACAGCATATGATTTTTGAATCTTAAGTATTAGAAACAAGGTATTTTTGAAGTTTTCTTCTGTTTCTTTCCATCTGCCCTTCTTATGAGATGTATCTTCGAGGGTCCAATGGCCCCTGACTGACAGTGAGGCACTCCAGCGTTGATGGAAACTTGGGGTGGTGAGGCTCATCCTCCAGGGTGACCAGGGTGAGCAATGCCCTAACATCACTGTTTTGGTCTTTCTTCTTGGGCAAGTTGGATTCAGCAGCGAAGGATCATTTACTTGCCTTCCTGGAGCATGTGTGCTGGCTGCAGCATTCTGGGCAGATGAATTGGCATGGGGGAAACAGGGCTGAAGTCTCAATATTCAGTATGTAAACACACACTCACAGATCTCCAATCTGTGAGTTTATGCTTTCTTAAAACAAAAAACAGAAACCATTCTCCTCCTGTTTACAGGAGGAGTGGGGAACACTGGGGAAAGATGGTGACTAAAAACCAAGAGAAGCCACCTTTAACGGTGTCCTGAATGAAACATTAATGCATTTTGGACAATGGAATATGGATGGAGAAATAACGATGAACACAGCAGGACTGAGGGAGCCGTAACAGGAAACACACAGAAAGGAAAACACAGGTGAGAGAAAAGTCAACCTATGCCATGAGAAGGCAGAAATAGCCAGAAACGGAGGACCTGCTGCAAGCCCACATGCAAGGGCAGGGCTCCTCCTTCTCCTTCTTCTTGCCCCCACCTTTAGTTAGTCTATCACTACAACCTATGGATTCCTAAAATGTATCCTCTCCTCTCCACTCTCATGAGCACTTCCTCAACTGAGGCTGTCCTCACTTCTCACTGAACTGCACCTTCTAACTACTTTCCCTGATTCTAATCTGGGCTGGGCCATATCAGTACTGCCACTGGACTAATTTTTCTAAAATCCACATTTGAAAACTTGGATACCCTCCTCCAATTTGTTCCCTGGTAAATGTCTCATGGTTCCTTTGAAACTCAGCTTGCTCCTTGACTATTTACTGACCCCCAACTATATGTCAGGAACCACAAGACCTTTTGGGGAGGCTTCCTTGGTTTACCAGCCTAATTTGGATGATCATCTTTTCTGCTACCACTGAACCTCCTCCTTCACAGAACTTACTACCTGATACTCGTCTATAATCGCTGATTTACCTGCCTCAGTTCTCAACTAGAACACTTAGCTTCTTAGAGCTAGGGTCAAATCGTAGCTATCTCTAGAACTTTTCAGCACTTGGCCTATAAGCAGAGGTTCACTAAATGTCTGCTGAATAAAGACAGATTCTTCTGATTACCTGATTGATGGAAAAATCCAGGACAGAATCTTCTGATAATCGTATTTCATGTTTTTCACTTTTCCTGGCGGTTTTCCAGCAACAACACTGTCTCCTAATAATCTATCCTATCAAAACTGAGACAACTTAGATGAGCAAAGTTCTGGAAGACTGTTTAACGATGTTCATTCCTACTTTCTATCAACAACAACAAAAAATTACTGCTCTCTGGTTCCAAAGGATGCAGGGCAGCAGGAGATTTTCTAAACGGCTAGATAGCAAGTTCAGAATGAATTACTCTACAGTGGGATAGGGGCCTTGTAAATGAACTCCCCTATTTGAACAATAAGGCACTTAGTATTCTATACCAAGGCCATCATCTGGCCCTGTTTTGATCAAGGGTATCTCTCAGGCGTTTGAAGGAAAGGAAGAATGGGTGGGTCTGACCCTGAAATATGTGAATGCAGACTGCTGACTGGGCTTCTGTTCGTGTTTCAGAGGGAGTCAGGAACCACTCCCTTCGGAGCATCCTCAGGTTGTTACTGTCCTAGCACTCTCTTCCTATAGCAATGTCAATGAACCTTGGGTCCTTGACTTCGAAGGTCTACGAAAAGAGGGAGCTGAGGCAACTGCTGTTACTAGGATGGAGGATGAAACCATTAAGAAATGGAACAGGTGGTGACAGATATTTGGAAGAGCACAGGAAGTCCAAGAACAAAGAAGAGAGAAGGATGTAGTCTGAGCATATAAGAAAGGGAATCGGGGCTGAGCTGCAGAAATCATTGCTAACTCCACCTCCACACACAGTCACTAAAGTAGTTTATAATAATCCTAAAGCATCCCAGCAAAATTTTTTTTCAGAATCTCTAGTAAATGAGTAAAAGAAAGTCATTTTATGCTGGGTGCAGTGGCTCACACCTATAATCCCAGCACTTTCAGAGGCCAAGGTGGGAGGATCACTTGAGGCCAGGAGATTGTGACCAGCCAGGGCAACATGGTGAGACCCCATCTCTAACAAGAATAACAAGAACAAAAAATTAGCTAGGTGGTTATGCATGCCTGTGGTCCAAGCTATCTGGGAGGCTAAGATGGAAGGATCACTTGAGCCTGGGAGGTTGAGGCTGCAGTGAGCTGTGACTGTACCACTGCACTC